ACAGCAGCTTACAAGCAGCTTACACAACAGCTTGCAGCAGCAGCTTACACAGCAGCTTGCAGTAGCAGCTTACACAGCAGCTTCCTTTCTTCTATAAATAGAGGAGAATTCAGTTCATTATATACATAAGTTTGAAGTTTGAATAATATATCAATTTCTCTCTGTACTTGTCTTTACTTTACAGTCTTTATTTTATAACACTCACTTCCCTTGTTGAGACTTATGAGGAGAGCAAGCATTACTCAAGTTCTAGTTTCTGGAGATTTCTTGTGATTGAAAATGACTTCCCTGAATATTTTTTATTTTCTTATTTGTGTTTACTTCAGTTTTCAATTTCAATAAAGGGACAAAATTGAGGACCATTCAATTTTTATTTTTCTTAATACAAGTTGAGTACAGCATATATATATATATATATATATATATATATATATATTATAACAGCTCGGCCAATACTTTCTGTCCTTTCCATTTGTTCTTACTAAGAATCTTCTTTGTATTTGGCATCCGCGGAAAAAAGTCTGACCATTGACAACCTGTTTAAATGGATATTAAACTCCAACAACACTTGCAAACAGTCTGACCCTTTGTGCCACTGTTTGGGAACAAATCTTTCAGCATTTACTCTAATTCTGTTTTCCGAGCTTTAACACTGCCTTTACTTTTTCACCTTTTTTCTTTTGTGCTATGCTAATGAAAGCCAGAAGAGGAAGGAGATCTCAGGTACTTTTTCGTGGTCTGTTCAGTAGTAGTTTATTTCCTTTCAATGGTAAACTGAGAGAATTGTATTGTGCAGGCCTTTTGGCCCTCCATTGTGATGAAGAAATGGCTGAATATTGCTCCTAAAGTGTATGATTTTAGTGAAGATGAAGTTGACACCGAAACGGAGAGTGAGGATGATGGTATCCAAATTATTCATGAAAATTTGTTTCTTGGTGTTTGTTCTAGGCTTTGATTAGTTGTTTTCTTGCCAAAATTCCAGCTTGCTCTCTCAAAGATGAAAGGGTGCTTGAAGATCATGGACATAGAAAACCGGGGAAGCTTAACGAATGCCAGACTCAAACTTCAGGCACTAATCAAAACTGCAGTAATTGATTATTTCACATGAAGATCCTAGCTTGTTGGATGAGATATCAATTTTTTAATGCTTCACTCCTTTATAAGTAGTAACTTTTGTTCTCAGTACCTTAAAGTTGTATTATCATAGTATTAACTAGTTGAACTTTAATTGCTCAGGGAAACCAAGACACAGGAGAGGGAAATCAGAAACCTTGAGAGTTCAGTATATTAACAAGAAAGATGTGAGGTTTGTCTTTACTGCATTTCTTTTGGGACCTGAAATCCAGTTGGAAGAGATTTACATAAGCCCTGATTTTTCTGCAGAGTTACTGTGGGTACTTGGAATGTGGCTGGAAGACTTCCAGATGAGGATCTAGACATTGATGAATGGCTTTATATGCAACAACCTGCAGATATCTATATTCTTGGGTATGTACCAAAAGCTTTTAGATTATGATATTGGTTGTTGAAAATTAGATTACAGAAATGAGTTCAAACCTAAATTGCATTTGGTTACAGCTTCCAAGAGGTGGTCCCTCTGAGTGCTGGAAACGTACTGGGAGCAGAAAATAGAAGACCAGTTCCAAAATGGGAAGCCATCATCCGAAGAACATTAAACAGGACACAAGACCCTGAAACTAATATCAAGAGTTATAGTGCTCCACCATCTCCAGTTTTAAGGACTTCTTCTGCTGCTGACATAATTGCTGATACTCCTGCACTGGATATGATGGCAGATGCATCACTGGACACAACTTCCTTTCGTGAAAACAATACTATCAACCTAGGAAAGAATATACATTTCTATGGCACTGATTGTGATAGTAGATTGGATTGGCCTGAACGTTCACTTGATGCAACACCTCAAGTTCTTTCTTCTAGTTTCAAGTTGAGGAGAGTCTTGAGTAGTTGCGCGAGAGTTGGTTTTGGTAGCATAGACAACCCTCTTGCTTTTGATGGCAGAGGGTTAAAGAGGGTGCACCAAAGCTCAGGAAACTTAGGAGTAATGTGGGTGGATCAACAAGATGTACCTCTAGTTCTTGATTCTCTTTCTGATCAATTTCCTGACGAGGAAAATGACTTGTTTGAAGAATTTCTAGAGGTCAACAAAGAAGAAAGTTCAGTTCTAAATCATGCAGTGAAGTCACGTCCGATGTATGTTCGTATTGTCAGCAAGCAGATGGTTGGTATATATGTATCAGTTTGGGTACGTAGAAGATTGAGGAGGCACATAAACAACTTGCAAGTCTCCTCTGTTGGAATTGGACTAATGGGGTACATGGGCAATAAGGCATAACTTCTTCTTTCACTCTACAGATATTCATTGTATCACACATATCAGCATGATTTTCAGCATAATCGTTAGAAAGTACAATTAACTTTCTAGGACTTTACTCCCTCAACATTTCTTTACATCCTGTAGAAGACTTATCAGCTGCTTTCAATCAGCTAAGGCAATCCGGCTCTTAGTTCTTTAGCTTCCCCCTGCCTCTTTTTCCGACCCCTTGGGAAGTTAATATTTCCAAGGAGCGAAAAAAAACAAGAGCAAAATATATATATATATATATCTGTTGACACTTTTTGTTGAAATTGATATATCTCAATGATTCATAAGCCAATCAAAGCTACTGCCTTTGAATAAAAATAACAACTGACTAATCGATGGTGCTATGCAGGGATCTGTTTCTGTGAGCATGTCACTTTTCCAGTCACGGCTATGCTTTGTTTGTTCTCATTTGTCATCTGGTCAAAAGGATGGAGCTGAGCAAAGGCGCAACTCTGATGTCAATGAAATCATGAGGCGTACTCGTTTCTCATCCATATTTGACACAGATGCAGATGAACCACAAACAATTCCATCTCATGAGTAAGTATTCAAGTTGATACTTTACGAGTTGACATCATATATTATTTCTTATTCGTGTTTCGTGAATTATAGACACATGGCTCTTCTCTTCACAGAAGAAAGAGCAGTTTTAGTGTATTAGCACACTGTTGGATGAGTTGACTGTTTGAATACAAAACTTTTGAAGACAAATTTTCATGCTTACTGATATAAGTATAACCATTTAACATGAGCTTTAATTTTATCATGGACGCACAGAAGAAAAGAGACATAAAATCAGATCAGTTTCTGGTTCTTTGCTTTCTTGTCTTGTAGTTATTCAATTTACAAGAATGTACAAATGAATATGTTCCAAATTTGCTGATAATACTTTTAGAGTGAATCAATGACCATTTCAGTATTTCATCTTTAGAGATGTTAATGCGGCAACTACTAACAATGTGAACTTTCATTATATAGTCAGTGCCTCTGTGAAGTACCAAAATTGCTTGTCCATGTACGAGTTAGAAATCTGAAAGAAAAAGAAGAAAATTTCTGAATTGGCAAAGCTCAAAAAGTATTGAGCTAAATAGATGCAAAATTTTGGGAAAATGGGACAAGAAATATTCATATTGAAAATCCAAAACTGCTGTTATTTAGAAAACATAAAACTAGAGCTGTAATTAAAGTTGCATTTACCATTTCTTTCAAACTGTTAAGAGTTTATATTAATACATATAACCTTTCTTAAATAACTACAGTCAGATATTCTGGTTTGGAGATTTGAATTATCGAATCAGTATGGTGGATGCTAAGGTACGGAAGCTTATCGCCAATAAGCAATGGGATGAACTTCTCAATAGTGATCAGGTGAGTCGAAAATAAAAATCTTTAAAACTATAGGTTTTTTCCTCTATCATTAGTAAGTTAACCCATCTTTCAGAAGGGAAATCATTCACCTTTTACTTCTGCTGGGTGGTAGTAGTCATACTACAGCATCTTTGACAGTTTCTCCTAAGTTTGATTTTTATGCAAAGTTCCAGTAACAATAAGTTTAACAGTATTTCATCATATGGACAGTTAAACAAAGAACTCCGAAATGGACATGTCTTTGCTGGTTGGAAGGAAGGGTTGATTAACTTTGCACCAACTTACAAGTATGAAATCAACAGTGATAGATACAGTGGAGAAATTCCAAGAGAAGGGGAAAAGAAGAGATCACCAGCATGGTAAGTGAAAACTTTCCTTTGAATGAACAAGTTGCAAAATGTTACTTTAGCTAAGATAGCAATGATGAACATTGAACTGACTACTTTTTTTTTTAAACTTAAATCCCCGAGGGCCAGTTGGTGCATGGTTCTAAACTCAGTGGATAATGGGCACATTGAACTGAGGATTATTTCTTCACATCATGCAGGTGTGATCGTATACTCTGGGTTGGAACCGGTATAAAACAGCTCTTCTACAAGCGAGCAGGACCAAGACTATCAGATCATCGGCCTGTAAGTTCAATGTTCTCAGTAGAAGTGGAAATATTTGACCATAGAAAGCTACAGAGAGTTCTAAATGTTAACACCGCTGCTATACATCCTGAGATTCTGCTTGAAACTGAAGAGTAAGACTTGAAGCTTCTGCAAATAACTTGCTATCAAGCTTGACAGTAGGTGAGTTAACATTGATGCCGTTAAAGTTACGACCTCTGGTCTATATTGTCTGTTTTTAAAATTCTTGCACACCCTTTAAGAAAAACATTTAATAGCCTTAATCATATTGGTGTTTGTCTAAAGTATATGTGATGTCGTTCTTAAATGTCTCAATTAAAACCCCATTAAAGTAGAAAGGGTTTGGACAAGGAGTAATAAATGTTTCTTGTATTTCTAGACGTCAAATATTTTGGAACAAATTCAGTTTTGACAGTTAGCTTGTTATCTGTTTCCATCTAACAGATAATTATTCCATTCTTTCTTCTTCGACAGCAACATGTCAGACCCTCCTCCAATAACCAATCCTGAACCCCAGATCTGAGCCTCATGAATATAGATGAATTTCCCACCAATACCAATCCCCCTTCTTTTAAGCAAACGCTATTAAATAACCATTTTATGTCATTACCACCTATTTCTAATACCTAATCACATATTGACATGTCCGATAAAGTGTTGCAAGAACTAACAACAGATAACTTTATACCCATCTCAAGTTCAGACAAATCCAGACTCTATCAGCCATGGCAATATTCTATTATTGTTAAAGTTTACGGACGAAAAGTGGACCACTTATCTCTCAAGCAAAAATTACAAACTATGTGGAAACCTACTGAATCCCTATCCCTCATTGACCTAGGAAATGAATTCTTCTTAATCAAATACCAAAAAGAGGAAAACATGAACAAAGCATTGCACAATGGACCATGGTTTATATTAAACCACTTCCTTTCCGTAAGATGGGAGCCAAAATTCCTAGCATCAACAACAAAACTCACATATACAGCAATTTGGACTCGACTTCCTGAGCTTCCAACAGAGTTCTACGATCTTGAAATACTTCAAAAAGTGGGAAACAAAATAGGCAAACTACTAAAAATTGACACATGCACCTTGGCAACTTCTCGTGGCCGGTATGCAAGGATTTGCATAGAAGTACCACTGGAGCAACCATTAAAATCTCATGTCTTCATTGGGACACACCGTCAACACATACTATATGAGGGTCTAAACATGCTTTGTACTAGTTGTGGCAGACTGGGTCACACGCGAACCACTTGTTCCCATAACTCGGTCAACACCACCCTAAATACGTTACTACCACCCCATCCATCCACCTCTTCCAACTCTACAAAAAATGCAGGTGACAATCAAACAACCGACTCCGAATGGAAAACTGTAACCTTTCCTCGAAGACCCATTACCCAACTAGGGCGATACAAACAAATTCACAAAGACGAGACAGATGTGAGCACCTCACCACCAAAGATAACAATGAAGGGAAATATAACAACCTCTTCAAAGCCAGAAACGACAACGGAGCTAATACCAGGTATGTCTCATACTCTGCCCTCAACAATACCCACTTCCCCATCCCCTACTAATCAATTAATTAAACAACCAGGCTTATTGGTTAACAACGCTTTTAATATTTTAAACAATCTTGCTAACGAACTAGAGGAACCTAATAACGAACACCTGTCAAACCCAACTATTGAATTACAAGCCCAAGATAAAGCAGCCCACCCCAACTCTAACTGGCCCAATGAATCACCTAGGTTACATCTCCCACCCAACCAAATCCATTCCCATGCACATGCTACTACACACGTTAACAAAATGAACAGTGATCCAATGGACACTATGCAAACTCTACAACATGCCACATCAGCTACACCTCCATGCAACGCCAATCACACTCTTCTACCTAAAGACACTAAACCGGAACACACAAGCCCACAACCCTTCCTAGTAGGCAATGATGACCTACACATGTTAGACCTAAAGCCCAACACCACACTCCAACTATACCACTCTGCCCCTATGCAAATAATTCTGCCCAATACAAGCCCACGTGAATAGCCCAATCCATAAGAAACACTTAATCCACCGCCTTCCCCCACATCTCCTTCCTCTACTAATACTGCCACACCATCATTAGCCACTTCTACAAACACGCAACAATCCACCTCTTCTTCTATTTTTATTTTCAAAAATCTACATGCAACGCCACAATGCACCATCCTTCCCTCTCAGAACTCATCACCAACGTCCCTTCCAACTCCCATACAGACCACTAAATCTTCATTTCCTCTCTCCACCAACAATGGCCAACCAAACTCCACCTCTACAAAATTACCCACTAGTTTACACCTCCCAAACTCCAAACCCATTTAATCCTCCCCAATCTTGGCTCGAGATGGGGTTACAAAATCATGCATTGACCTTCTCAATAATAGTGAACAATCAAGAAGTGATCATTCGTCTCCAAAATCCCCAAGACCTAGCACAAATAGTAACAGAGGGCATGACGGCTGCCATGAATCTTTATGGCCAATACCGATGGGACACACAATTGAATCCCCACACATATGGGGGATACATCATCAACCCCAGCTATACCCCTATGTGTGGAACACTCCTCCTCCATACCACCTGAAAAACTACGAGGAGCTTCCCTTCTACCCACCAACACAGTCTTCCATTCCATGGATACACGATCACACTTACATGCAACCACCAATGATGCCACTGTCCCCAATGAGCCCATTCGAACCACTTACTCCCTCACCAAGCTCCATGAGCCCACAACCACTATCTCCAAACGACCAAGAAATTCTTTCACCTTAGGAACTCGCAGCAGTCATGGAAGAGATGAGGGAAACAAGAACGGAACCAGTATGGCTAGGGGCCTACCATATCACCGTCCTAAAGGAGAAATACGCCAAAAAATAGTACTCAACTGCCCTCCCAGAAGTGACCAAATGTCTGATCAAGCTACGCCCAACAGTAAACCCGGAGACGGGGAAATTTGCTATAGTGATCACTCCAACACTAAGGGAAATGACCCCACCACACATGGAGGAGACACAAACTCTAGAGGAGCCTCATCCAGCCCCCTAGCTCCACCCACACGAACTAACTCCATGAATTTCGTCATTTGAAATTGTCGTGGAGCACAGTCTATAGATTTTAGGAGAAACTTTAGATCTATGTTCAATTACTACAAGCCACCACTGTTAGTACTCTTAGAAACACATCTTACTGATCATGCCATGTTAAGGGATGACTTTGATTTCACTAGTTACTCGCAAGCTCCAGCGGAGGGACAAGTAGGAGGTATAGTGGTATTGTGGGACAACAATATTGTGTATGTCACTGAAATAGCACTCACAAATCAGAAAATCCACTGCATGGTGCAGGTAAGTCCTCAAGGACACTCTTTCATGTTATCAGCTATATATGCTAGCAATTTATTAATTAATCATAAATTACTTTGGCAAAATCTCATGTATATAGAAGATTCATATAAGGGCCCTTGGTTAGTGGGAGCGATTTTAATGAAATACTACACTCAAATGAAAAATTTGGTGGATGCCCTACGAACAATCCTAGGGAAGATTTAATGTTAAATTGTTTAAATTATTGCCAACTAATAGATTTAGGCTTTAGAGGCAGTAAATTTACGTGGACTAATAAATGTCGCAGAGGATCTTTAATTCTGGAAAGATTAGATCGAATAGTAGCTAATTATGAATGGCTTAATATCTTTTCGGAAGCACAAGTGCACCACCTACCCAGAATTCATTCGGACCATAGTCCGCTACTTTTAACTCTAAATAACAGTCCTCCTCTAAGGACTAGTACGTTTAGATTAGAAACTATGTGGTTATCACATCAAGATTTTCCTCAACTAGTCAACCATGTATGGCATAAAACACCCCCCTTATTACAAGCTATTGAGGAGTTCACTAATCTTGTGCAAACTTGGAACAAAGACACTTTTGAAAATATTTTCTACCAAAAAAGCATATTCAAGCTCGTTTAGCGGGCATACAAAAATCTAATAACTACCCAACGAGTCACTTTTTACAAAAATTAGAGCAGGACCTTCAAACACAATTCAACCGCATTTTAAAACTTGAATAAGATTTTTGGAAATTAAAATCTAGAGTAAACTGGTTGAATGATGGAGATGCAAATACTAGATTCTTTGCATTTATCTACTTTAAAAAGACGGAGACGTAATCGCATTAATGCTCTAAAAGACATCATGGGCAACTGGATCACAAGTCATGAAAGCTTAAAAACACTAATCACAGACTATTACCAAGCACTATACACAACTTCTCACACCCACTCTAATTATAAGCACTCAATAGCCACGTTCAACATGATTACACAGGAACAAGCTAATTCCTTACAAAATTCGGTTACTGATAAAGAAATTACTGAAGCCATTTTTTCATTCAACGCTTTAAAATCACCAGGACCAAACGGATTACACCCAATCTTTTTCCAAAAATATTGGAATAAACTTAAGCACTCTATAATTCCTTTCTGCAAAGACATCTTTCAAAAGGGCCACATCCCTGAAAAATTAAACAAGACTTATATTTGTTTAATTTTCAAGATTAAAAGCCCCTCCAACACTTCACATTTTAGACATATTAGTTTATGTAATACTATCTACAAGGTTATTACAAAAATTCTAGTTAATCGTATCAAGCCGTTACTCAATCATATTATTCACCCAACTCAATCTGCTTTTCAAAAAAAACGTCAAGCTGCAGATAACGCAATAATTGTGCAAGAGTTGCTTAATCACTTTCGCAAGTCAAAATCAAAGTGCTCTAATATGCTCTTAAAAATTGACCTAGAAAAAGCTTTTGATATATTAGAATGGACGTTTATCCGACAAACCCTAACATACTTCAACTTCCCTGATCATGTAATCACAATTATCATGTCTTGTGTAACCACACAAACTACCTCAATTATTATCAATGGTACACCAACACATTTCTTCACTCTGACCAGGGGTATTCGATAGGAAGACCCACTCTCCCCTTATCTATTCATAATGTGCATGAAAATGCTATCACGCAACATTAACAGAGCTGTTGATTACAATCAATGGCAACCAGTCTCCATCAAACCTAAGTCCCCCCGCATATCCCACTTATTTTTTGCTGATGACATTATTTTAGCCTCAAAAAATTAATACAAAAAGTTACAATGCTATTATTGACCAACTTGAACAATTCACTTTTCTTTCGGGCCAAAAACTCAATTTTGAAAAGTTAAAAGTTTTCTTTTCAAAATATGCAAAGCAAGAAGAAAATAATTTAGTACTAAATTCCTTTAACATGATAGAAGGCGGGTCGTTTGGGAAATATCTAGGATTCCCAATATTTAGAGACAAAACTAGAAAACAAGATTTTAAATTTATTATTGACAATTTCAAGAATAGACTAGCAGGTTGGAAAATAAATCATCTATCACTAGCAGGGCGTACAACCCTGATCAAAGCAACTCTTAACTCATTGCCAAATCATATAATGCAATTCACAGCTCTTCCAAATTATATCATCACTCGACTAGAATCCTTTCAAAAGAATTTTCTTTAGGGCACAACAGCCCAAAAGAGATGTCTCCATCTAATAAAATGGGATAATATTACTAAACCAAAAGACCAAGGGGGTCTGGGAATACAAAAACTTAAAGAAAAAAATACAGCCTTACTTGCCAGTACAACATGGAGATTATTCCATAACCACCAATCACTTTGGGAATCCATCCTCCTATCCAATTATTTCCACAGTAATAAGAAGCCATTAGCAAAAACATCCACTCTTTAGAAACACATCACTAAGGGATGGCAAGCATGCCAAAAAGGTCTAGTGTGGCATGTCACACAAGGCACACACATCAAGTTCTGGACAGAAAATTGGGTGGCACCTAATATGCCTATCCGTACCCTAATTGAAGGACCTCTACAATACAAAGAGGATGAACTCACCATCCAAGAGGTCCTCAATAAGGGCCAAAACATAGCCCTAGTCATCTCCTTCGAATTCCCTCAAGCCCTAATGGAAAGGATTAATAACATCTATTTACCTTTTAATTCAATAGCCCCAGATTGTATCGTTTGGGGCCTTAACACAGCACGGACATTCACTGTAAGTTCTTGTTATAAGCACTAATAAATTCCAACCAACTTCCAAATCTCCATGGTTGGATATGGAAAATGCACTTACCACCAAAAATTCAATCATTTCTTTGGCTAATAAGCCACAACCGTCAACCAACCAACTCTTACCTACATAGCATCAGAATACTCTCTTCAAACCTATGTATAATATGCGGAGTACAAGAAGAAACCATTAGCCATATTCTTTTCACTTCCCTAACGCAAAAAAATGTTGGCAGAACATGCGATTAGACATCCTCATTCAAAATTTTACGTATGAAACAAACCCCACCTATGAATGGCTCAAATTTATTATTGGCCACCGGGGTTTTACAAATAGAGCTTCAATACCTCATAAAATACTTATTCCATTCACATTATGGCATTTATGGAATACTAGGAATAAAAATATTTTCGAACATTCTAAAAGTACTCCCAACATTGCGTTAATCAATAAACTTGCTGCTGAGTTTTATTATCTAACAAATAGCTCCACTCATAAAAAACACTCAATACTTATGTACATTAAGTGGAAACCCCCTCCTAAGGGCTATTTCAAACTTAACACGGATGGGGAACTCAAGCAGTCTAACACCAGCGCGGGGTTTGAGGGAGTATTCAGGGATACAAACGGCGATTGGGTGATGGGATATGCGGGACAATATCCTTCAACTAACATCACTAATATCGAGCTAATGACACTATTCAGAGGATTATAAATAGCAGCAGCTCATAACTGGACTCTACTTCAAATTCACACAGACGCAACAGAGGTAGTTGCCATGCTTAATAATACAAACACAATCCACTCACACTTGCTTAATGATTGCAGATCCCTGATCCGGTCAATGAGTGACACATCCATTCAACACACTTACAGGGAGCTTAACACAGTAGCTGATAAACTAGCACATTTTGGGATGGAAATGATGGGCAGAAACATCACTGTTTTGCACAATCCACTAACTAATCTCATGGAAGACTTGCTTGCAGACAAATGGGGAAGACATAGAAATAGACACAAATCCACAACAACTATTACACAACCAAACTCCGAACATCCTTTTTGTAAAACTTTTGATGTACCATCTACTAGTAGTAACATCACCCATCCTTTTTGTAATAGAGTAGTAGATGAACATGGCACTGACCATTTACATGCACACACCCACAGTAGTACTCTTCCAACTTTTTGTAACACTGCTTCTAAGCAGAAGCTCCATGTACTTGATCGTTAATTAATAGAATGTAGTCTTTAAAACCAAAAAAAAAAAGATAATTATTCCATTGGAGAAACTGCTAGAATACAACTTTGGAAAAGAGATACAATTGTATGCGCTAAAATTGGTTAGTGACAGTTGGATGAATGAGGAGATGACATGAGAAACTGAAGACATGTAAGATGTGAGTCAGCAAGTAGTTGGTACCGGATGCGAACATATGGCCGGTGTTGGGTGAATTCCGAAGACATGATAACCGATAACAAAGATTTGAAGAGTTGATATAGGATAGTATTCAATGAGTAGCCGTTACAGAGAATATCTGCATTTATAGCCAACTGTTATGCAACCATCAATAGCGGTTTCATTTTCATTCAAGAGGAGCTTGATTTGGGCATCTTGTCTACCTAAATAGAGCTATAAATAGGAGAATTAGTATCCAATGTACGACACGAAACATTCTATATTAAAAAGCTTGAATCAGCTCTCATTCTATAACATTAGTTTTTTACTTTGTTCTTAATATTGTTCTCTCTTTTGCTACCGGGGAAGCTAAATTCGTAGTCAAGCTTGTATTTCCTTTAAGTTCATTTTATAATCTTACTTATGTTCTTATTTATTTCATATTTCTGGGTCAAATTAGTTCATGTATCTATAAACCATGTTATAAATTCAACTGTACCATTTTACGGGTAAACAATTTGGCGCTCATCGTGGAGCTTGATTAATTATGTAATTGCTTTGATCCATTCATCTGTTACTAACAAATTTTGATTCTTGTCTTAGCAAAAGAAAAATCAGATATGGTAGCTAATGATGTCAACAATTTCTATAATGTTGGAACACACAATGAACGTGGGGATGAGTTCCAACGTGATGATTAAACCAGTGAAACCCGTAATGAAGGAGATGAAATAACTCCAGTTCATGAAGGTCAAAATCCTCGACATGGGAGAAGTCCAACTCATGATGAACACGTTGTTGAAACGATCAAAATCTTTAGAGAGTAATGTCGCACCCCATTTTTTCGTGAAAGCAGGTTTTGATGTGTGACAACTCTTTTAAAGGAGGTATTAAAAGAGAAGAGTCGCCACCTAACAATTTTAAGGTGCGTTAGGGCACCTATTGGAAAATAACTCTGTTTGACTAGTCAACGCCACCAAAGATCGGGTAAGGGCTCAAATTACGTCAAAGAGAAGGTGTTAGGCACTCTTCGAGATCCACAACTGTGGGTCCCTGGCGAACTTTAAACTATGTGAATTATGTAATTAGGCTAGGTGATCAAATAAATAAAGGAAAATTTAGAAGTCGAAGAGTCTTATTATAACACATGAGAATTGATACAAATCTTAATGACTACAAGGATACAACCACATTGATCTATGTTAAATGACTAAGTGTAAACAACAAGTACATAAAGAAAGGGGGGTCCTATGTTTTTTAGCCTAAAGGATCACCCCGTGCAACATAAATAATATTTCGCAACTCTCTTAAGGTAGGGGTTGCTCATATTATTCAGCGAGAACAGACTATCATCTCCTACTACCCAATTACTATGTTGAGGTTGTTACTTAAAGACGCTCTAATTCAATTCTAAATCGTACCATATGCGTGCACTATCCATCCCATACCTATGGTCCAGGAGGCTTTGGACCTACTATTAGGCGGTTCTAGACTCAGCTTAGGTTGCTCAAGATGATAAAACTAGGCGATATTCAAAACAGATAAGACTTCACGTAAAGACAATTAAAGGCCCAAATTAGCCTCCACACATAAACAACAAATGCACGCGGGCCATTTAGGCAGTACATATTCTAGGAAGTTAAGACACATCAGAGTTGTTAGATCCTATAGGCATAATTTCTAGGCGATTCTGATTTCCAACATTGTACAAGCAGCGTATAGGCAGGTTAAAATATCGCAAGTCCTATAGGCATGATTTCTAATTGTTGATGAGGTAGTAAAGCGATACGAGTTATCAGATTACTGATGCTGATTTTATAAGCATTATCCTTAGGCAGACGTTAATGTCATATAGGCATGGTCTCCAACAGTTACATAATTTGGCAGTGAGACAGCTTTGAGAGTCTAGTACTAAACGTTGATCTCATATACAATGTTCTTATGCCAGCAATAACATCTTATAGGCAGATTTCTAACAATTGATAATTAGGCTTGATTTTATAACACTTTATTCCTCTAGACATATCATCTAGGCGGGGTAGTGTAGTGAAAACAACGGAAATAGTCGACTAAAGATTAGAATTTTATAGTCATGATATCTAGATGGCAATACACTAAAGCAATAGAAGCAATTGATCAATTGATTATTTGAAGTTCTATAGGCATGGTATCTAGGTTAATAAAGCATATGTTATAATCATATAGGCATGATGTCTAAATATACATTAGTAACATAAAAATGAGCATGGTAGATACTTAGACTAACGTGTTTGAACAGTGTACGAGGGAGGTGTGCATGATTCCTATAGGCATGATTTCTATTAGTGTGCAACATACCAAACGTAATAACAAACAAGGCATGCTGAACGAAATAGCAAATATAACACAGAGACCCTATAGGCATGTTTTCTACCATTTTATGCAAATATTAGAATACTCCAGCCCCACCTTTCATTAATCTCCCCATCATTTATTATACAAATTATTACAGACCACATTGAATGATTACATGCTCAAATACAAATAAAGAACAACCCAATAACACATTTGGGCCTTCAAATATGCTTAGAACTTCATGCGGACAGTGGGCCCAAACTCCAGGTGCAGACAGTGTGCTCTAGACCCCCCAAATACTAAAGGCGGGCCTAATATACTAGGCCCAAACAATTCCAGTAATTAAGTTAATGGATACTAGATTAGCCATATAGGCAATAGAACTACGCATCGGAGTAATTTAAACACTTAATTTTCACAACTGAAAGAACTGCAGTTTCAGCCAATATACAAGGCCATGCTAAGTTGACAGGCACCAAAAACACATACGGGCAAGTAATTCCAGAAAAACAAGATTAACAAGGGCAAGATAAGGTACCACCAAACCACTGCAAACATTGTTTCAAAACAGAACCAACTCAAAGAATTGCATACGACAGCCCAAGCAGAATCATACACATGAAAAAGGTGGAATACAATCTTCTTATAAAGATTCTAACAGGAAAGCCTTGCATAACAATCATACAGGTAGCATAATTTGGAAAACCTACTTAGTTGATCATGGGATTTAACAAGATGACACTAACTGCAACACAAGTTTCTACAAACTCATAGCAGGTAAATAATTTGTCAACCTTAAGCAAACAAGACAAACAAACATTAGGATTCATGATAGATGAAAGTATCAACCTTAAGTTAATTGGATAGGTAATTATCAAGCCTAGTCTAATTGGTCATATATAGGAAGAGGCTGAACATTGAAATTGACATTAGAAAACCATGGCAGCACTTAGCAACATAGAGTCGAGCAGATCACACAATGGAATTACAGGAAACATGGCATGCTATTTTTAGAGATTCAGGTAGTAATGACATCAAAAATTACATGATCATTAAAGAAGATAACAAGTTACATATGAATGATTCCATAGGGATTAGAACACATTCTGGGCATGAATTGGTTTAATCACAAGAGTTTAGAACAAGGCAGGGAAGTAAACTCATGCCAGGCAGCATATATAAGCATTCAGGTACAAACACACTAGGCTAAACGAGTTTAAGAGAGCCAAAAATTATTCATATTAAACACATATAATAGACATATCTCAGAGTTGGAAATTTTAGGCAAGTTTAAATGCTAGAAAAGTTCAGAGTCACAAAACAATTTTAGGGCCAATAAGGCTGCAAACAGAGATGGCATAGGAACATATTGATTCACAAAAATTTCAATGGCATGAGTATATAGAATATGAACACAAATGAAAGAGAATGAAACTATGAAGGCCAAGGAACTTACCAGTTATCAATTGATAAACAGATAAACAAGAAGAACAATCTCAACAGTACTCCAAACGTCAACAAAGAGCAGTAGAACCCAAAGTCTTAGTGCGTCAGAGTTCCCAAGGATTTCAGATGAACCCCGGGCAGTACTCGCACCAAGAAAGGTTAATTAGTCAAATTTCGGTGGTCTTGGCTTTTAGCCAGCCAAGAGCCAAAGTTCAGAACAATATAGAGTGAAGGAGTAAGAGAGTAATAGTTCTTAAAGTGATTCAAGTATCTCAAAAGGGAAAATTGGGGAGGGGTTATATAGTGGTGCAAATCGAACAAGCAAACATGGAAAACAATTAATCAATCACAAAATAAGGAAAGAATATAACATGCAATCAATAATAGAACCGGTAAAGAAGAAAAAATTAAAATTTCAAACCCTAGTTCGACGAAAATCAAAGAGTGGCCGAGGATCTTGGTAAATTGAACACATATAACCTGGTAGTGAATGTATCAAGTCAAGAACATGGACATAATATAGAATCGGATTCGAACAAACGCATGTTGATGAGCTTCCATAAATAACTCGGTACCAAACGAGTAATGTCAAGAAAACGGGAAAGAAACGCAGTGAATACAGAAAAAGGAAAGGAAATATGGAAGATCTCCATATTCTCTTGGGTACAGGCTAGGATTTGGATGAGGCGGCTAGGGTTTAGTGTGAGAGGAGAGGAGAGCGTTTAGGGGCGGCTAGGCAGAGTGAAATGTGAGGATTAGGGTTGGGGCGGGTAATTAAAAATGGGAGAATGGTTGTGGGCCGTTGATCATTTGAGATCAACGACCAAGATTAGAAGAGAAGTGGGGTGGGTCATTTAAACGGGTACCGATCGGGTTTGCTAAAGGGTCATTTGGTCTGGGCTAGAGGGAATTGGGCCAAGGGTTTTAGGGTATCTGGGCTGCCTATTTTGGTCTGAAATTCATTTTAAAGCCGAGCCATAATTTAAATACACACAATTTATCAAACAAAATAATTTATAAAAAGTAATTAACACATAATAAAAATATTATTTATGCAGTAAAGTATTTGAAAATAATAGCTTAACATTATAAAAATATAAAGATGCTATTTGGCACAAATAATGTGAAAAAATATTATTATGCATAGCATATA